GGCCGATCACATGGCCAGTCCCATGGCTGAACCCATGGCCGATCACATGGCCAGTCCCATGGCCGATCACATGGCCAGTCCCATGGCCGATCACATGGCCAGTCCCATGGCTGATCACATGGCTGGTCCCATGGCCAGCTGAACATCTACTGCTTCCAAGGACCATATGGAGGGTATGACTGGAAGGCAGGTCCCCATTGCCACATCAGCAACATGGTAGGTAAGTGGTTAGCACCTGGTTTTGAGTTGATGGATTATTATTGTTTCTGCTATTTGTATTCAGCGCCAACAATTTACATATTATACAGTCAGAGCCGTCCCTGACCTCGAGGAGCTTACAGTTGAAGGTCCCTATCTCTCACACATCCTGGGGCCAATTTAGACAGGAGCCAGTTAACCTGCCGGTGCACCCCTGGAGTGTGATAATGGAGGAAACCATTGTGAGCTCAGGAAGAACGTGCAAACTCCATGCAGATAGTGTCCTGACCGGAACTCAAATTAGGGACCCTGGGCGCTGCAAGGCAGATGTTCCAACTACTGAGCCACTGCTGCCCAGATGGATTTATTCCCACAAAGGACGCGATCTGCCCGGAGCCTTTATGTGGGTTTGTCCGAGTAGCCAATCACTTACGTTAACTGGCTTCAATCCAGCCTGAGCCTACTGTGTGTGAGCCTGTATAACGAAGGGCTTGTTGACACTAGTGGCTGGGGGGGCATTAAAACTCTGCAGTTGAGCCATGCTTTTACCATCCCCCAATCGCTACCCCCTTCAAATTCAAAGGCAGCAGCTGCGGGTGTCACCTTTGGCAAGTGCCATGCAACTCGAGCTGCTCTGCAAGTACCTAGCAACGGCATGCAACGCACAGGTTAGTGGCACTCCAGTGCGGGGTTCAAGAGGTTAAAGATGGCAGTGTAAATTGCTCTCTGAAGAGCAATCTGAATGGGGATCGCTCTTCAGAGGCTGAAGCTAGTGTGTACAAGCCCTAATACAGACATTGGATTGTAAGCTCCTCTGGCAACAAGGACTGCCACAGACTGTGTAATGTGAAACTGCAGAAAATGGTTCAGCAATACATAAACGGGTCAAGGAAATAGCATTTTCCTTTTTGTCACCTCGACCTCCTCTACATTTTCCATCCTGAAAGGAGGAGTCCCTTCCTCCTATGGGGGACGGTTTGGCTTTGTACAGAAAGCTCGGTACAATCTCTATGCAATCAGCGTCGTACCGTCTTCACCATCGGAGAAAATCTGCAGTTCAAGTCATCCCCTTTATTGGCCAACTTCACGATTTGGTAGATTCCTTCATCAAGTATAGAAAACCTGACTGAGGGATGGAAGTTATACTGAAAGATCTTCACAAACGGACAGCATAAAATTACTGAAAATTAATCAGCACAAGGGACATTAATCACCTCCAGAGAGATGTGTCCTCCTTGAGTCCTACTCCGCCACCAACCCCCTGCAATCATCCAGTGTGGGGGGTTCATAGAACTAAGGGGGCTGTGACAGGCCCGACTATCCCCAATCTTTCCGCCCCCCCCATTCATAGAAGCCAGGGATACACTTTCTATGAAATAAACTTTTTTTTTTATAGAAGCTTTAGTTAGGGCCTGGAGGAGCACATGCCCAGACACAGTGTATGTATGGGGGGGGGGGAAGGGGGTGCTGCACCCGGGGTATGTGCCCCATATATCCCAGACACAGTGTATGTATGGGGGGAAGGGGGTGCTGCACCCGGGGTATGTGCCCCATATATCCCAGACACAGTGTATGTATGGGGGGGGGGGGGGGGGGTGCCGCACCCGGGGTATGTGCCCCATATATCCCAGACACAGTGTATGTATGGGGGGAAGGGGGTGCTGCACCCGGGGTATGTGCCCCATATATCCCAGACACAGTGTATGTATGGGGGGGAAGGGGGTGCTGCACCCGGGGTATGTGCCCCATATATCCCAGACACAGTGTATGTATGGGGGGGAAGGGGGTGCTGCACCCGGGGGTATGTGCCCCATATATCCCAGACACAGTGTATGTATGGGGGGAAGGGGGTGCTGCACCCGGGTATGTGCCCCATATATCCCAGACACAGTGTATGTATGGGGGGAAGGGGGTGCTGCACCCAGGGTATGTGCCCCATATATCCCAGAGTGCCCCAGACACAGTGTATTTATGGGGGGGGGGGGGGAAGGGGGTGGTGCCGCACCCAGGGTATGTGCCCCATATATCCCAGAGTGCCCCAGACACAGTGTATTTATGGGGGGAAGGGGGTGCCGCATTCAGGGTATGTACCCCATATGTTCTACACAGTGCCCCGGATGCAGTGTTTTAATGGGGGGAAGGGGGTCCCACACCCAGGGTACATGCCCCAGATATTCTACACAGTGCCCCGGACGCAGTGTTTTTTATGGGGGGGAAGGGGGAGCCGCATTCAGGGTATGTGCCCCATATATTCTACACAGTGCCCCGGACGCAGTGTTTTAATGTGAGGAAGGGGTGCCGCACCCAGGGTATGTGCCTCATATATCCCACTGAGTGCCCCAGACACAGTGTTTTAATGTGGGGAAGGGGGTCCCGCACCCAGGGTATGTGCCCCATATATCCCAGAGTACCCCAGACACAGTGTATTTATGGGGGGAAGGGGGTCCCGCACCCAGGGTATGTGCCCCATATATCCCAGAGTACCCCAGACACAGTGTATTTATGGGGGGAAGGAGGTCCCACACCCAGGGTATGTGCCCCATATATATCCCAGAGTACCCCAGACACAGTGTATTTATGGGGGGAAGGAGGTCCCACACCCAGGGTATGTGCCCCATATATTCTACTGAGTGCCCCGGACGCAGTGTTTTGATGTGGGGAAGGGGTCCCGCACCCAGGGTATGTGCCCCATATATCCCACTGAGTGCCCCAGACACAGTGTTTTAATGCGGGGAAGGGGGTGCCGCACCCAGGGTATGTGCCCCATATATCCCAGACACAGGTATTTATGGGGGGAAGGGGAGCCGCACCCGGGTATGTGCCCCATATATCCCAGACACAGTGTATTTATGGGGGGAAGGGGGTGCCGCACCCAGGGTATGTGCCCCATATATTCTACTGAGTGCCCCGGACGCAGTGTTTTGATGTGGGGAAGGGTTTGGATGCTGCAACTGCCCTCCATTGTTTTTTAGAAGTTTGCTCACCAACTGCTGCAAAGTACCCCAGGCCCCTGCAGATCACTAGTCTGGCAACGCTCATTGTTTGGTTCCTCCCTGGACTGGCATCTCTCACAGCCTTTATGGCCCTCCCCTGAGGCTCTAGTGAGCAAAAAGCTAGGAAGGGTGTGGAGGGGATCAGAGGGGAGGAGGGGGTTGGGGTGCAGAGGTTAGCAGCAAGAGTGGGGTGCAGAGGGGGGGTTTGTGATGTGGAAGAGAGAAGAGTGGGGAGGGGGGTCTGAGATGTAGAAGGGAGTTTGGGGTGTGGAGGTGAGCCAAGGAAGGGGGGGGGTCTGATGTGCAGAGGGGAGTTTGGGGTGTAAAAGTGAGCAGAGAGGGTGGGTCTGAGGTGGGGGGGGGGGGGGTTCTGAGGTGTGGAGAGGAGTATTGGGTGTGGAGGTATGTAGGGGGGGGGGTGCTAAGATGCAGAGGGGGGGTACTTGTGGTGTAGAGGTGAGCAGATGGGGGTCTGGGGTACAGAGGGGAGTTTTGGGGTGTGGGGGTGAGCAGACGGGGATCTGGAGTGCACCGTGGGTGTGGAGGTGAGCAGACAGGGTTCTGGGGGGGGTCTGAGGTGCAGAGAGGGGTTTGGGGTGTGGAGGTGAGCAGACGGGGGTTTGGGGTGTGGGGGTGAGCAGACGGGGATCTGGAGTACACCGTGGGTGTGGAGGTGAGCAGACAGGGTTCTGGGGGGGGTCTGAGGTACAGAGGGGAGTTTGGGGTGTGGAGGTGAGCAGACAGGGTTCTGGGGGGATCTGAGGTGCAGAGGGGAGTTTGGGGTTTAGATGTGAGCAGATGGGGGGTTTGAGGTGCAGAGGGGGATTTGGGGTGTGGAGGTGATCCGTGTGGGGGTCTGAGGTGTAGAAGGGAGTTTGGGGTATAAAAAGTGAGCATAGAGGGTGGGTCTGAGGTGCGGGGGGGGGGGTCCGAGGTGTGGAGAGGAGTATTTGGTGTTGAGGTATGTAGAGGGGGGGGGGGGGGTCTGAGGTGCAAAGGGGAGTTTGGGGGGTGGAGGTGAGCACATGGGGGTCTGGGGTACAGAGGGAAGTTTGGGGTGGGGGTGAGCAGATGGGGGTCTGGGGTACAGAGGGGAGTTTGGGGTGTGGGGGGGGTGAGCAGATGGGGGTCTGGAGTGCAGAGTGGGTGTGGAGGTGAGCAGACGGGGATCTGGGGGCTTCAGAGGGGAGTTTGGGGTGTGGAGATAAGCAGATGGGGGGTCTAAGGTGCAGAGAGGGGTTTGGGGTGTGGAGGTGAGCAGAAAGTGGAGTCTGGATTTGGGGTGTGGAGGTCGGCCAATAAAGGGACGACTTGAACCCAAACAATCAGTTAAATAAAACAGTGCAAAACAATTTATTCCATACTTTATATGGTGAGAAGTCCAGTCCAGTCAGCAGCTACCCCCCCCCCCCCCCCATCTATTCCTTCCATAACATGGAGGTCGAGGTGGTCTCTCTCTCTCCTCACTCCCCTCTTTCCCCCCTCTCTCCCCCCCCCTTTCCCCCCTCTCTCTCTCCCCCCTCTCCTCCCCCCCCCCCATCTCGGGAGGCACTGTATAAGTTCTCCTGACCTCGGAGGTATCAGCACCAACACAACCCCAGAAGGCCTCGTCTCGGGTCCCGACTCCCATCTATGTATCGGTATCTCTGACTATAAAGCATGGAACGAGAAGCGCTCCTGGGTGCGTCAGTCGCTTGGGCTGCTTTTACCAGCAAGCAGTGTAAACACGTAAAAGAAAAAAAACAAAAAGTAAAGTGAGTGCACTTGTAGGACGTGAGAAGCGGCGCGGGTTGCAGTGACACCGTCCCGTCAGACTTGGTTGACCGCCAGGCAGCAGGAGGCTTTGGAGGCACTTATGGCCCTCTGGATCACCGCTTGGCACTTCTCTCTCTTCACCAGTCTGTTATTCTCAAAGAGACCTTCGTTTCTCGGAATCCCATGGGAACCGTCAGGAAAGGTCAGCAGGCCTGTGTGTGCGCAAAACAAATCTCACTTAGGATATGCTGTAGCTTTGGATGAACATCGCTAACGCGGCAGAAAAACCTCAGCGTGACATAGCATTGCCGGGTAGGGGTGCGCATGCACCGCCCTACCTGCACCGGCGATTCCCCGCTGGCACCCGCCGATCACCAAGGAATAGTGACAGGGGAGAGGTCTGTATGTAAACAATACAGATCTCTCCCGTCAGCACCGGACATGCTGCTGTGTATGGCTCTGCATAGCAACCATGCTTACACAGTAACACAGCACATATGTGAAACACACAGGTAACCCTTTGATCACCACAGATGTTAACCCCTTCCTGCCCAGTGCCATTATGATTACCAATGATGGGGCCCTACTCCTCCCACTGACACCAATGATGGGGCACTATTCCTCCACTGACACCAGTGATGGGGCACTACTCCTCCCACTGACACCAGTGATGGGGCACTATTCCTCCCACTGACACCAGTGATGGGGCACTATTCCTCCCACTGACACCAATGATGGGGCACTATTCCTCCCACTGATACCAGTGATGGGGCACTATTCCTCCTACTGACACCAATGATGGGGCGCTATTCCTCCCACTGACACCAGTGATGGGGCGCTATTCCTCCCCACTGATACCAATGATGGGGCACTATTCCTCCTACTGACACCAATGATGGGGCACTATTCCTCCCACTGACCAATGATGGGGCACTATTCCTCCCACTGATACCAATGATGGGGCACTATTCCTCCCACTGACACCAATGAAGGGGCACTATTCCTCCCACTGACACCAATGATGGGGCACTATTCCTCCCACTGACACCAATGATGGGGCACTATTCCTCCCACTGACACAATGATGGGGCACTATTCCTCCCACTGACACCAATGATGGGGCACTATTCCTCCCACTGACACCAATGATGGGGCACTATTCCTCCCACTGACACCAGTGATGGGGCACTATTCCTCCCACTGACACCAATGATGGGGCACTATTCCTCCCACTGACACCAATGATGGGGCACTATTCCTCCACTGACACCAATGATGGGGCACTATTCCTCCCACTGACACACCAATGATGGGGGCACTATTCCTCCCACTGACACCAATGATGGGGCACACTATTCCCTCCCCACTGACACCAATGATGGGCACTATTCCTCCCACTGACACCAGTGATGGGGCACTATTCCTCCCACTGACACCAATGATGGGGCACTATTCCTCCCACTGACACCAATGATGGGGCACTATTTTGCCTCCCACTGACACAATGATTGGGGAGAAATTTCCTCACCAGGGCGTGGCACAAATGATGGTGGCTGAGGTATTCCTCAACATTGACACTGGGGTCGGCTGAGCAGTGTCCATCCCTTCCCTTATCCACTGAAAGGATGCAGTGACTGAAGCTCTGATTCCACCACACAGGTATGAGGTTACCAAAATGAAATGTTCGGGCATCAGAGCAGAAAACCTCCCACTTACCGTACCTTCCACCCGATGGCCTTATATTCCCCCTCGTACTTCAAAGTCATAGGGGTGAAGACGCACCGTGGAATTTCCCCTGAACAAATATCCCCTTCATATCTGATTGGTGAGAAAAATGGAAACAGAATCTTCGATCAACAGTGGTTCAACGTGAATATACAAAATACCACGAAAGTACGTGGCCATGGGGTAGAGGATAAAACACACAATATACCACGACATGACGTCATGGGGTAGAGGATAATACACACCAACAACTATACAATATACAAATGAATGTCATTCGGGGGTCGATCCAACTTCCCTTATCCAAACAACAATGCTGTAAGGATACAAACGAATGACGTCATGGGGGTAGAGGATGATGAGGTTACAACGAATGAATAGTCATGGGGTAGAGGATAATACACACAATATCAATGACGCATGGGGTAGAGGAATGAGATACCACAAAATACAACGATAAATGACCATGGGTATCCTTCCACAATATACCACAAATTCATATGGGTAGAGGATCTAAACACAATAATACTGAATGATTTGTCATGGGGTGAAGAGGACTCCACACAATATACCGTAAGAATTGACGTCATGGGGTAGAGGATAATTCACACAATATACAACGAATGATCATGGGGTAGAGGATGATACACACAATATACAACGAATGACGTCATGAGTTAGAGTAGATGATACACACAATATACAACGAATGACGTCATGGGGTAGAGGATGATACACAATATACAACGAATGACGTCATGGGGTAGAGGATGATACACACAATATACAACGAATGACGTCATGGGGTAGAGGGATAGATGATACACACAATATACAACGAATGACGTCATGGGGTAGAGGATAATATACACAATATACAACGAATGACATCATGGGGGTAGAGATGATACACACACAATATACAACGAATGACGTCATGGGGTAGAGGATAATACACACAATATAACAACGAATGAAGTCATGGGGGTAAGAGGATAATACAAACAATATACAACGAATGACGTCATGGGGTAGAGGATAATACACACAATATAGAACGAATGACGTCATGGGGTAGAGGATATACACACAATATACAACGAATGACGTCATGGGGTAGAGGATGATTTACAACACACATATACAACAATGACGTCATGGGGTAGAGGATGATACACACAATATACAACGAATGACGTCATGGGGGTAGAGGATATTACACACAATATAGAAACGAATGACGTCATGGGGTAGAGGATATATACACAATATAGAAACGAATGACGTCATGGGGTAGAGGATGATACACACAATATACAACGAATGACGTCATGGGGTAGAGGATAATATACACAATATACAACGAATGACGTCATGGGGTAGAGGATAATATGTACAGTGGGGATCGAAAGTTTGGGCACCCCAGCTAAAAATTTGTATTAATGTGCATAAAGAAGCCAAGGAAAGATGGAAAAATCTCCAAAAGGCATCAAATTACAGATTAGACATTCTTATAATATGTCAACAAAAGTTAGATTTTATTTCCATCATTTACACTTTCAAAATAACAGAAAACAAAAAAAATGGCGTCTGCAAAAGTTTGGGCACCCCTGCAGAATTTATAGCATGCACTGCCCCTTTGCCAAGCTGAGACTGCCAGTGTCACGGATTGTTCTCAATCATCGTCTGGGAAGACCAGGTGATGTCAATCTCAAAGGTTTTAAATGCCCCGACTCATCTGACCTTGCCCCAACAATCAGCACCATGGGTTCTTCTAAGCAGTTGTCTAGAAAACTGAAACTGAAAATAGTTGACGCTCACAAAGCTGGAGAAGGCTATAAGAAGATAGCAAAGCGTTTTCAGATGTCAATATCCTCTGTTCGGAATGTAATTAAGAAATGGCAGTCATCAGGAACAGTGGAAGTTAAAGCAAGATCTGGAAGACCAAGAAAAATATCAGACAGAACAGCTCGCAGGATTGTAAGAAAAACAATTCAAAACCCACGTTTGACTGCACGATCCCTCCAGAAAGATCTGGCAGACACTGGAGTTGTGGTCACTATTCCACTATAAAGAGATACTTGTACAAATATGGGCTTCATGGAAGAGTCATCAGAAGAAAACCTCTTCTACGTCCTCACCACAAAAATCATCGTTTGAACTTTGCAAATGAACATATAGACAAGCCTGATGCATTTTGGAAACAAGTTCTGTGGACCGATGAGGTTTAAAATTGAACTTTTTGGCTGGAATGAGCAAAGGTACGTTTGGAGAAGAAGGGGCACAGAATTGAATGAAAAGACCCTCTGTTCAACTGTGAAGCATGGGGTTGGATCAATCATGCTTTGGGGTTGTGTTGCAGCCAGTGGCACAGGGAACATCTCACGAGTAGAAGGAAAAATGGATTCAATAAAATTTCAGCAAATTTTAGATGGTAACGTGATGCCATCTGTGAAAAAGCTGAAGTTAAAGAGAGGATGGCTTCTACAAATGGATAATGATCCTAAACACACCTCGAAATCCACGGGGGATTACATCAAGAGGCGTAAACTGAAGGTTTTGCCATGGCCTTCACAATCTCCTGACCTCAACATCATTGAAAATCTATGGATAGACCTTAAAAGAGCCGTGCGTGACAGACAGCCCAGAAATCTCAAAGAACTGGAAGACTTTTGTAAGGAAGAATGGGCTAAAGATACCTCAAACAAGAATGGAAAGACTCTTGGCTGGCTACAAAAAGCGTTTACAAGCTGTGATACTTGCCAAAGGGGGCAGTACAAGATATTAACTCTGCAGGGGGCCCAAACTTTTGCAGACGCCATTTTTTTGTTTTCTGTTATTTTGAAAGTGTAAATGATGGAAATAAAATCTAACTTTTGTTGACATATTATAAGAATGTCTAATCTGTAATTTGATGCCTTTTGGAGATTTTTTCCATCTTTCCTTGGCTTCTTTATGCACATTAATACAAATTTTTAGCTGGGGGGCCCAAACTTTCCATCCCCACTGTACATATATGTTTTCTATGTGGGATCTGCTTTCTGTTCCAATAAACAATAGCGCCACCACCAGGAGCCCCCAATAAAAGTCAACCAGTTCTATAGTAAAAGTGGTTCTATAGCAGCAGTGCCCAACCTTCTAAAGAGCGAGGGCCACAATGAAATGCAGTGCTTCAGAATGTCAAATTTTTAGCCCATCACACACAGGGAACCCTTTAGAACGTAGCTGGCCCATCACACACAGGGTACCCCTTAGAACGTAGCTGGCCCATCACACACAGGGTACCCTTAGAACGTAGCTGGCCCATCACACACAGGGTACCCTTTAGAACGTAGCTGGCCCATCACACACAGGGTACCCCTTTATAACGTAGCTGGCCCATCACACACAGGGTACCCTTTAGAACGTAGCTGGCCCATCACACACAGGGTACCCTTTAGAACGTAGCTGGCCCATCACACACAGGGTACCCTTTAGAATGTAGCTGGCCCATCACACACAGGGTAACCTTTAGAACGTAGCTGGCCCATCACACACAGGGTACCCTTTAGAACGTAGCTGGCCCATCACACACAGGGTACCCTTTAGAACGTAGCTGGCCCATCACACACAGGGAACCCTTTAGAACGTAGCTGGCCCATCACACACAGGGTACCCTTTAGAACGTAGCTGGCCCATCACACACAGGGAACCCTTTATAACGTAGCTGGCCCATCACACACAGGGTACCCTTTAGAACGTAGCTGGCCCATCACACACAGGGTACCCTTTAGAACGTAGCTGGCCCATCACACACAGGGTACCCTTTAGAACGTAGCTGGCCCATCACACACAGGGAACCCTTTATAACGTAGCTGGCCCATCACACACAGGGTACCCTTTAGAACGTAGCTGGCCCATCACACACAGGGTACCGCTTAGAACGTAGCTGGCCCATCACATACAGGGAACCCTTTAGAACGTAGCTGGCCCATCACACACAGGGTACCCCTTAGAACGTAGCTGGCCCATCACACACAGGGTACCCTTTAGAACGTAGCTGGCCCATCGCACACAGGGTACCCTTTAGAACGTAGCTGGCCCATCACACACAGGGTACCCTTTATAACGTAGCTGGCCCATCACACACAGGGTACCCTTTAGAACGTAGCTGGCCCATCACACACAGGGTACCCTTTAGAACGTAGCTGGCCCATCACACACAGGGTACCCTTTAGAACGTAGCTGGCCCATCACACACAGGGTAACCTTAGAACGTAGCTGGCCCATCACACACAGGGTACCCTTTAGAACGTAGCTGGCCCATCACACACAGGGAACCCTTTAGAACGTAGCTGGCCCATCACACACAGGGAACCCTTTAGAACGTAGCTGGCCCATCACACACAGGGAACCCTTTAGAACGTAGCTGGCCCATCACACACAGGGAACACTTGGAGGTTCTCTCACCTGGAGCCGTCTGGGAAGGATAAAACCCCGTAGCCGTTAAAAAGCCCGTTTTCAAACTGCCCAATGTAGTCGGATCCATCCGAAAATAAGAGCTGGCCCATGCCGTGTCTTCTTCCTGTGTGGGAGAGGGAACATCATACATGTGTGGGGATTGCTGGAAACATCATACATGTGTGGGGATTGCTGGAAACATCATACATGTGTGGGGGATTGCTGGGGACATCATACATGTGTGGGGATTGCTGGGAACATCATACATGTGTGGGGATTGCTGGAAACATCATACATGTGTGGGGATTGCTGGGAACATCATACATGTGTGGGGATTGCTGGGAACATCATACATGTGTGGGGATGGCTGGGAACATCATACATGTGTGGGGGATGGCTGGGAACATCATACATGTGTGGGGACACATCATACATGTGTGTGGGACTGGTGGGAACATCATACATGTGTGGGGACTGGTGGGAACATCATACATGTGTGGGGGATGGCTGGAAACATCATACATGTGTGGGGATTGCTGGGAACATCCTACATGTGTGAGGATTGCTGGGGACATCCTACATGTGTGGGGATTGCTGGGAACATCCTACATGTGTGGGGATTGCTGGGAACATCATACATGTTTGGGGATTGCTGAGCTCATACATGTGCGGGGATTGCTGGGGACATCATACATGTGTGGGGATTGCTGGGAACATCATACATGTGTGGGGATTACTGGGAACATCATACATGTGTGGGGATTGCTGGGAACATCATACATGTGTGGGGATTGCTGGGAACATCATACATGTGTGGGGATTGCTGGGAACATCATACATGTGTAGGGATTGCTGGGAACACACGCATCTCTGTGTCACAACAACAACCAAAGCAGTAACCGGCCGTCCTGACCAGCAGGTTGGGTAGTGTGACCACCAGGAGAGGGCCTATTGGGGGGACTGCAGGCTAGCCTCTTGTCTACTGGGCCCCGGCATCTGGGGGGGCTCTCTATTCTTTGGGAGGTGTGTGCTGGGGGGACCTTCGGATTCAAGTCCATGACTCCCCGAAACACACAGACCCTGAGAACTGGAGGACCAGGATACGGATTTTGGGGTCTCTGTGCCCAAACTAACATTGACTACTTCAAACCCCCAGAACCGTATCCCCATCAGACAGGAAGTCAGGGGGGTGCAGCCCAGAACCATATCCCCATCAGCCAGGAAGTCAGGGGGGTGCAGCCCAGAACCGTATCCCCCATCAGCCAGGAAGTCAGGGGGGTGCAGCCCAGAACCGTATCCCCATCAGCCAGGAAGTCAGGGGGGTGCAGCCCCAGAACCTTATCCCCATCAGACAGGAAATCAGGGGGGTGCAGCCCAGAGAACCGTATCCCCATCAGCCCAGGAAGTCAGGGGGGTGCAGCCCAGAAAACCGTATCCCCATCAGCCAGGAAGTCAAGGGGGGGGGGTGCAGCCCAGAACCGCATCCCCGTCACACAGGAAGTCGGGGGGGAGGCAGCCTAGAACCATATCCCCATCAGACGGGGGGGGGGGGGGGTGTGCAGCCCAGAACCGTATCCCCATGAGACAGGAAGTCGGGGGGTGCAGCCCAGAACCGTATCCCCATGAGACAGGAAGTCGGGGGGGTGCAGCCCAGAACCGTATCCCCATCAGCCAGGAAGTCAGGGGGGTGCAGCCCAGAACCTTATCCCCATCAGACAGGAAATCAGGGGGGTGCAGCCCCAGAACCGTATCCCCATCAGCCAGGAAGTCAGGGGGGTGCAGCCCAGAACCGTATCCCCATCAGACAGGAAGTAAGGGGGGTGCAGCCCAGAACCCTATCCCCATCAGACAGGAAGTCAGGGGGGTGCAGCCCAGAACTGTATCCCCATCAGCCAGGAAGTCGGGGGGTGCAGCCCAGAACCGTATCCCCATCAGACAGGAAGTAAGGGGGGTGCAGCCCAGAACCGTATCCCCATCAGCCAGGAAGTCAGGGGGGTGCAGCCCAGAACCATATCCCCATCAGCCAGGAAGTCAGGGGGGTGCAGCCCAGAACCGTATCCCCATCAGCCAGGAAGTCAGGGGGGTGCAGCCCAGAACCGTATCCCCATCAGACAGGAAGTAAGGGGGGTGCAGCCCAGAACCCTATCCCCATCAGCCAGGAAGTCAGGGGGGTGCAGCCCAGAACCGTATCCCCATCAGCCAGGAAGTCAAGGGGGGGGGGGTGCAGCCCAGAACCGCATCCCCGTCACACAGGAAGTCGGGGGGGAGGCAGCCTAGAACCATATCCCCATCAGACGGGGGGGGGGGGGGGGGTGTGCAGCCCAGAACCGTATCCCCATGAGACAGGAAGTCGGGGGGTGCAGCCCAGAACCGTATCCCCATGAGACAGGAAGTCGGGGGGTGCAGCCCAGAACCGTATTATCCCCATCAGACAGGAAGTGGGGGTGGGGTGCAGCCCAGAACTGTATCCCCATCAGACAGGAAGTAAGGGGGGTGCAGCCCAGAACCGTATCCCCATCAGACAGGGGGGGGGGGGGTGTTGCAGCCCAGAACCGTATCCCCATCAGTCAGGAAGCCAGGGGGCGCAGCCCAGAACTGTATCCCCATCGGACAGGAAGTCAGGGGGGGTGAGGGGGGGGGGGGTTGTTGGGGTGCAGCCCAGAACCGTATCCCCATCAGACAGGAAGTCAAGGGGGGGGGGGGGGGATGCAGCCCATCAGCCAGGAAGGGGTGCAGTTTCTTACCTTCTCTCCATTCTCCGTGATAGTCCTCACCGCTGGAATAGGTGAAGGAGCCTTTTGTTAAAGTCATATTTCCGGCCACCTAGTAGATCCAGAGAAACCTGCCGGGGAGGAAGCATGAAAATCAGAAAATACCCGACAATGACACCCCAAGACCGGGGGAGGGGGGACGAGGGGGGGGGGGAGCTCATCACACATCAGCACCGGCTATAGGGATCACTTTCCTTGAAGATCATTTAGAGCGAACATGCCACACTGCCCTCCCCCCAGATGTATGAAGCATTATGTGTCAGCAAAAATCCCCCCCCCCAAAGAAAAATAAAATGAGCACTAATCTGCATGCGCACCCCCTAAGCATAAATCCCCCCCCCCCCACCAGTACAAATCCACCCCCCTGCTGAAATCACCCCTCCTAGCACAAATCCTATACCCATCAATTTTTCCCTCCAAACCCTTCAGTGGGAGGAATAGTGCCCCATCATTGGTGTCAGTGGGAGGAATAGTGCCCCAAAAAATCGATGGTGTCAGTGGGAGGAATAGTGTCCCATCATTGGTGTCAGTGGGAGGAATAGTGCCCCATCATTGGTATCAGTGGGAGGAATAGTGCCCCATCATTGGTGTCAGTGGGAGAATAGTGCCCCATCATTGGTGTCAGTGGGAGGAATAGTGCCCCATCGATGGTGTCAGTGGGAGGAATAGTGCCCCATCAATGGTGTCAGTGGGAGGAATAGTGCCCCATCATTGGTATCAGTGGAAGGAATAGTGCCCCATCATTGTGTCAGTGGGAGGAATAGTGTCCCATCATTGGGGTGTCAGTGGGAGGAATAGTGCCCCATCATTGGTGTCAGTGGGAGGAATAGTTGCCCCATCATTTGGTGTCAGTGGGAGGAATAGTGTCCCATCATTGGTATCAGTGGGAGGAATAGTGCCCCATCATCGGTGTCAGTGGGAGGAATAGTGTCCCATCATCGTGTCAGTGGGAGGAATAGTGTCCCATCGTTGGTGTCAGTTGGGAGGAATAGTGCCCCATCAGTTGGTGTCAGTGGGAGGAATAGTGCCCCATCATTGGTGTCAGTGGAGGGAATACTGTTCCATCATCGGTGTCAGTGGGAGGAATAGTGGTCCCATCGTTGGTGTCAGTGGGAGGAATAGTGCCCCATCGTTGGTATCAAGTGGGAGGAATAAGTGCCCCCATCGTTGGTGTCAGTGGGAGGAATAGTACCCCCATCATTGGTGTCAGTGGGAGGAATAGTACCCCATCATGGTGTCAGTGGGAGGAATAGTGCATCCATCATTGGTGTCATTGGGAGGAAAAGTTGCCCCATCATTGGTGTCAGTGGGAGGAATAGTGCTCCATCATTGGTGTCGGTGGGAGGAATAGTGCCTCAACATTGTTGTGTCAGTGGGAGGAATAGTGCCCCATCATTGGTTGTCAGTGGGGGAATAGTGCCCCATCATTGGTGTCAGTGGGAGGAATAGTGCCCATCGTTGGTGTCAGTGGGAGGAATAAGTGCCCCATCGTTGGTGTCCAGTGGGGAGGAATAGTGCCCCATTGTTGGTGTCATTGGGAGGAATAGTGTCCCATCATTGGTGTCAGTGGGAGGAATAGTGCCCCATCATTGGTGTCAGTGGGCAGGAATAGTGCTCCATCATGGTGTCAGTGGGGAGGAATAGTGCCACATCATTGGGATCAGTGGGGGGAATAGTGCCCCATCATTGGTGTCAGTGGAGGGAAAGTAGTGTCCCATCATTAGTAACAGTGGGAGAATAGCGCCCCATCATTGGTGTCAGTGGGTGGAATAAGTGCCCCATCATTGGTGTCATTGGGAGGAATAGTGCTCCAATCATTGGTGTCAGTGGGAGGAATAGTGCCCCATCATTGGTGTCCAGTGGGAAGGAATAGTGGGTAGTGCCCCATCATTGGTGTCAGTGGGGAGGAATAGTGGCCTCATCATTGGTGTCAATGGGAGGAATAGTGCCCATCATGGTGTCAGTGGGAGGAATAGTGCCAATAGTGCCCCGTACATTGGTGTCAGTGGTGAGGAATAGTGCCCCATCATTGGTATCAGTGGGAGGAATAGTGTCCCATCATTGGTATCGGTGGGAGGAATAGTGGCCTCATCATTGGTGGTCAAGTGTCGGGAGGAATAAAGTGCCCCAACGATTTGGTGTCAGGTGGGAGGAATAGAGTGCCCATCGTTGGTGTCAGTGGAGGAATAGTGCCCCATCGGTGGGTGTCAGTGGGAGGGAATAGTGCCACATCGTTGGTGGGGGGGTCAGTGGGGGGGGCAGGGCGGGGGGGGGGGGGTTCAGTGGGAGGAAATAGTGCCCCAGCGTTGGTGTCAGGTGGAGGAATAGATGCCCCATCGTTGGTGATAGTGGGAGGAATAGTGCCCATAGTTGTGTTCAGTGGGAGGAATAGTGCCCATCTTTGGGTATCAGTGGGAGGAATAGTGCCCCATCGTTGGTGTCATGGGGGAAATAGTCCCCCCATCATTGGGTCAGTGGAGGAATATACCCCACATTGGGGTCAGTGGGAAATAGGCCCACTTTGGGTGCGGGGGAGGAATGGCCCCATCATGGTGTCAGTGGGAGGAATAGTGCCCATCTTTGGTGTCGGGGGGAAAATTTGCCTCATCAGGGGTGTCAGTGGGGGAATAGTCCCCCATCTTGGGTCAGTGGGGGTAGTGCCCCATCATTGGTTCAGGGGAGGAATAGTGCCCCACGTTGGTCAGGGGGAGGAATGGGCCCCCATCGTTGGTGTCAGTGGGAGGAATAGTGCCCCTTTTGTTGGTGTCAGGGGGAGGAATAGTGCCCCATCATTGGTGCAGGGGGAGGAAAAGTGCCCCTCTTTGGGTGTCAGTGGGGGAAATGGGCTCCTCATTGGTGTCAGGGGGAGAAATAGTCCCACATCTTGGGTATCAGTGGGGGAATTGTAGCCCCATCATTGGTGTCGGGGAGGAATAGTGCCCATCATAGTATCAGTGGGAGGTAATAAGGGCCAATCATTTGGTGTCAGGTGGGGAGGGAGATTGCCCCTTCATGTGTCAGAGGGGGGGAATAGTGAGCCCATCATTGGTGTCAGTGGGAGTGCCCCATCAATAATAGTGCCCCATCATGCAATGTGGTCAGTGGGAGGAATAGGTGCCCCAATGCATTGGTGTACAGGGTGGAGAGGAAATAGTTGTCCGCCATCAGATGGTAGTCATTGTGGGAGGAAAAAATGTGCCCTCCATACAATCATTGGTGGGGACCAGTGGGAGAATAGTGTCCACCAATCATTGGTGTTCATTGAGGAGGAATAGTGCCCCATCATTTGGTGTCAGCGGAGAATAGTGCCAGACATCATTGGTGGTCAGGTGGGAGGAATAGTGCCCCATCGGGGTATTGGGTGGGAGGAAATAGTGCGCCATCATGTATCGGAGAATAGTTGCGCCCCATCATTGGTGTCGGTGGGAGAATAGTGCCCCCAATCATTGGGGAATGGCTCCGGGTTGGTGTCAGGGGGGAGGAATAGTGCCCCATCATTTGGTGTCAGGGGGGAAGATAGTGCCCCGAACTAGTTGGTGTCAGGTGGGGGGGGAAATACGTGCCCCATCGTGTGGTGTCAGTGTGGGGGAATAGTGCCCCATCGTTGGTGTCCAGTGGGAGGAAATAAGTGCCCCATCGTTGGAGTGTGGGAGGAAATCCCCATCGTTGTGTGGGAGGAAATAGTGCCCCCATCATTGGTGTCAGTGGGAGGATAGTGCCCCCTCGTTGGGGGAGAAATAGTGCCGCCATCAATTTGGTGTCAGAGAGGGGGGGAAATAGTGCCGCATCCATGCAATTGGTGTCAAGAGGGGGAGGACTAGATAGTGGGCCTCCATCGTTAGGTGCTCAGGTGGGTGGAATAGTGTTGCCCCCCATCTATGGTGCAGTGGGTGGGAAATGTTGCGCCCCGATCATTTGGATCGTCAAGTGGGGGGAAATAGTGCCCCATCAATTGGGATGTCCAGTGGGGGGGGGAATAGTGCGCCCCAATCATTGTGGTGTCAGGTGGGAGGAATAGTGCCCATCGTTGGTGTCAGTGGGGGAGGGGGGGGGAATAGATGCCCCCATCGGTGTTCGTGTGGGAGGGGGGACTAATGTCGCCCATCGGTGGGTGGTCAGTGGGAGGAAGATAGTGCCCCATCATTGGGTCATCAGTGGGGATGTAGTGCCCCATCGGGAAGGGGCGGAATAGTACCCCATCATTGATGTCAGTGGTGGATAGTGGAAGGTGTCAGGTGAAAATAGTGCCCCATCGTTTGGTGTCAGTGGGGAGCGAAGGAATTATGTGGGCCCCAGTCATCTGAGGTGTCAAGCGTGGGAGGAATAGTGGCCCCATCAGTTGGTGTCAGTGGAGGAGTGAATAGTGCCCCATCATTGGTGTCGGAGTGGGAAAATAGTGCCCCATATTGTGGTGTCTGTGGGCAGTGGAGGAATAGTGCTCCATCGTTGGTGTCCGGTGGGAGGAGAAATAGCTGCCCCCACGTGGTGGTCAGTTGGGAGTAGAAATAGGTGCTCCATCATTGTGTTCCAGATGGGAGGAATATGGCCCATCATGGTGTCAGTGGGAGGAATAGTGCCCTCAACGTTGTGGTCAGTGGGAGAAAATAGTGTCCCACTCGTTGTGTCAGTGGGGAGGAATAGTTGGCCCCATCGTTGGTGTCAGTGGGGGAAAAATATCCCCCATCGTTGGTGTCGGTGGAGAGAAATAGTGCCCCATCGTTGGTGTCTAGTGGGAGGAGAATAGTGTCCCCATCGTTGGTGCGTGGGGGGGAAAATAATGCCCCATCGTTGGTGATCAGTGGGAGGAGAAGAGTGCCCCATTCTCGGTTGGTAGTCAGTGGGGGGGGAGGAATAGTGCCCCATCATGTGTATCAGTGGGAAGGAATAGTGCCCATCCGGTTGGTGTCAGTGTGGGAAGGAATAGTACCCATTCATTGGTGTCAGAGGGAGGAATAGTGTCCCATCGTTGGTGTCAGTGTGAGAAATAGTGCCCCATCGTTGGTATCTGGGGAGGATTAGGTGCCCCATTCGTTGGTATCA